TCAAGTTTCCGTCTCTTGCAGCCTTTTCCGCCGTCATTGCTAGATCCTCCACATATTTTCGTTTGTTAGCTCTGATGCTCTTCTTCACTTCCCTGTTTGCTTCTGTGTATGCAGCTTATGCGGTAACTTTCTCTGCTCTTGTTCGGCTGACATTGATTGCTGCCTTCTTGTTCCTCCTTTCTTCAATTTTTGCAAGAGTACCAACAGAGATCCATTCCTTGTGATGGTACTTCTTGTGACCCAGAACTTCGTGACATGTTGAAGTGATTGCATCCTTAAACTTCTGTGATGTTGTCTGCCCCGTTGTCCAGTGCTTCTTTAGTTTCAGTTTCATTTTAGCAACCAGCAAGTGGTGATCTGAGGATATATCACCTCCTCTGTTGTTGAAGGTACATAGATTTGCAAATCTCTCACCGTTTTCGTCCCTTTCTCCCAGTCCATGTCGTCCCATGATGTCTTCATATCCAGTGTTGTCCATTCCAACCTTGACATTCAGGTCTCTCATAAGAATCGTCAAATTCTTTGGTGAACATTTCTCGACGATTGACTGCAGCCTTTCGTAGAATTGATCTTTACCGTCGTCATTGTAGTCATTGGTATGTGCATAACACTGGATGACGTTCACTGTAATGTCCTCATTCTTTGTTTTGAAGGATGCCTTAATGATCCTGGGTCCATGAGATTCCCATCCTATCAGCGCCTTTTGTGCATGCTTAGACAGCCTCAGTGCAACTCCCTGTGTATGTGATGCATTTTCCTCTTCATGACCAGAGTATAGCAGCAGTTCCGCTGAAGCTAGTTTCAGTTGTCCTACCTGTGTCCAATGCGTTTCACTGATGCCGAGCACCTCGAGGTTGTATCTTTTCATTTCTGCCGCAACTTGAAATAGTCTTGCAGTTTCCCACAATGTAGGAACGTCCCATGTACCTAAAAGAATGGTTGCTCTGGTTGTCAGAAGAGGCATCGGCCCCGTGACTTCGAGGGGAACTCGGCTTTCGTCACGTGACGTCATAATTCTTCTTCCAACTCCCAGGGCAGAGTTAAAATGGTTTGAATTATTTTTTCTGGTTAGAGTCTTTTTGGCAAGTTAGTTTTTGACGGAATGGGGTCGCCAACCCCATGTCCAACCTTCCTCCTTTACCCGGGCTTGGGACCGGCAGTACACCCGAAGGTTCTACTGGTGGAGTTACCTCTTCTACTATTGGATTTTAATTGAAAATTACATCTCAGTGCTGATGTGGTATGGCAACATGAACTGATGTACTTACGTACGAAGTTCTACGTTGCATCTGACTGACTGACTGACATCTATGATCGAATACTAGTATTCTACGAACATCTCCTCTTAACGGCCATGCTTCTCATACATATAGGAGAACGGAGCGAACTGCTGCGCAGTACACCCGTCCTTTGGTTAGCCAACGGATATCTCGTCTACGCCATAAACGGCATAAATTGGCAAAAGTAAATCGAGCCTTCTATATCCGCGCTGAGGTTTTGTCAGTCACCAGTCTATCAGCGATGATGGGACTCCCCAGATAAGTAAGGTGATCAACACGCTCAACTACTCCACTCCTTATCACTAGTCCAGGTGCCGATGCTGCCCAGTCTTGAAGCAACATTTTTCATTTCGAGGTTGAAACCGCATGCCGAACATGCTTGCCTTGTTGCTTAGGGTGGTGAGAAAACTGCATTTTGTCAGCGTCATCAGCGAACAAGACTGTGTCATCAGCATATTCTAAGTCAGCAAGCGTGTCTTCTGGTAGAATGTCTGCTCCTGAAGAGTCAGACGATGGTAATGTTATCTCTAAACAAGAATGGGGAGAGTGGACATCCCTGACGGACACCACTTGAAGTAAGGAATTCCGGTGACAGTTCTCCATAAGCTCTAACTCGACCTGCAGTGTTCGAGTAGAGAGCTTGTATAAGGTTAATGTACTTCTTTGGTACACCTTTTAATGATAAACACTGCCACGGAACCTCACGACCCACTAAGTCAAATGCCGCCTTAAGGTCCAGGAAGACTACTATTGTCGGACGCCTAAATGTGTTCCTGGACCTGTTGTAGTGTGAAGATGTGGTCTATTCAGCCACACCCAGGTCTGAAACCAGACTTGTTTTCTCTAGCCTACTCTTCACGATCTCTAGTTAGTCGTCTAAGTGTAATGGAGGCTAACAATTTAGAAACTATACTAGTTAGACTTATTCCCCTGTGATTGTCACAAGAAGACATTTTTCCTTTCTTATCAATCGGGACAATAAGGGATTCAGACCATTCGGATGGGGTTACTTCCAGTTCTAAGGTTCAGCTTAAGATCTCAGTCAACCTAGCTGCTAAAACTTGCCCAACATCCTTAAACATCTCAGGGGTAAGCCTATCAGGACCTGCTGCTCTACCTCGCTTCCGATTTCCTATGGCTTTATCAACTTTATTAAGACTAGGAGGACTTATGTCGGTTTCACATTCAGGATAACTGGAGATCGTGGGCAACCGAAGTGTGGCTCGAGGCCAGTTGAACTGATCCCTAAAGTGTTCTGCCCATCGGTCCAATCTCTTGGGTTGAGAATGAATATTGGTCCCATTCTTTTCCGAGATAGTTCCACCCACATTCGGATTCCTAATACTGGTTTACTGTTTGCGATCATTGCATAGGCTTTTTATCAGCCTCCTCTTAAGCTAATTTCGCTCTTTCCTTTGAGAGCCAGGTGTGGTGAGTTCACGAGCGTCTTTCAGTTCAGTAAACGCTTCTGAGATCCACGGCTTCTTCCTTACCCTACTAGCAGATATCACTGCTGTTTCCACAGCCTTTTTGATATTATTCCAACCTGCCTCCGGATGGGAATCGCTTACATGGTCGCCTAACTGCTTTTCTAGTTCCTCCTGAAATATTTTCTTAGCTTGATTATCATTAAGTAAAACCCTAAGAGGCTTTCTTACGGTGTCCTTCCTACGCCCAGTAAGCATCAAACAAATACGCGCTAGCACTAGGGCATGGTCTGAATCCAAACATTTGTCACAGAACGAGCGACAGTCCTCTATCGAACCTCTCCATCGGTGGCTGATGGCAATGTGATCTAGTTGGGTCCAACGTTGAGACGACTTTCGAGGTCGCCAGGTCAAGAGATGCTTTTCCTTATGCCTTAAGTTAGTGTTCGCTAGGAATAGGCGGTTATCTGAGCATATTTGCAACAGACGGTCACCATTGTTTGTTCTCTGAGCCGCGACACCATATTATTCACCAAGGTGTCTTTCATTTTAGTTAGTCTACCTACTTGAGCATTGAGTTACCAGCCATTATAACTATATCAAAGCGCTTAACTTTTTGGAGGAGGTCACAAAGCTTTCTGTGAAACTCATCTTTAACCTCGTCTGAACTGCAGTCAGTGGCGCTGATATGACGAATAGGCAACGACGAGTGTCCCAATCCTTTTCGTCCTGTTTAGTCGGACGACGCACAAGCAACTATCGAAGAGTGAAACGAATTGCTTCTTCATATTGACCTGGAGAGGTCAAGTGAATGACGCTACACGTCTTAGCTAATGATGCCTGTGGCCCTATTTGACACAATGTCCGTACATCAAATGCTCCAACATGTAGTCTAGAATGAAGTTTCAAGAGACCAGAAATGACGTTACGTGAACTCGCTTGTTAGTTGTGGAGAGAAGAGAGGTATGTGTGGGTGTAGGAAGAATTTGATTTCGACCAATTCGGTCTCTCGTGCTGTTACGGGTATGAGGGCGGTTGTCACTTCCCGGCTGCCCACACCAAGGAAGGGTGTTTAGTGAAGGACCTGAAAAAGAAGATAGATTAGTGTTGGTCTTGGAGACCTGGGAGCGTGACCGCAGAGTTCATCGGACAACTGCTTGGGGCTGGTCACGCACGGCCGTTTTATGAAAGGATTTTTGAGTATTAGCTCCGCTCCTAAAGGCCCAATCCGTGACCACAATCGAACAAATGACGTGGCTTGCACAATCCAAGACAAAACAGTTACTTATGCGAATTTGTTTTAAGTACGTATGTGGATGAACTGTAAAATATGGGTCACCAATCCAGAAAGCCTTCGGAACACTCGCGGTGTCTATCCAAGCACCCAATGTTGTGTAAATCGTACAGAAATAAACACTATTTCAGTGTTACGAAGTTAAACTTCTTCGAACTATTTAGGAACTCTAGGTGAACACTTCGTTTACAAGTAGTTTGATAAGGTAATACTATACGTAATGTCAAGACTTAGTAACGTGTTTGAGTATGATGATTATGACCATATAATAACCGTAGTAACGGTACACTGATTGGAGAACATCTTGTGTGAATTTTACTTGATGTTATTTTCTGACGCTGAGATTAGCTGGAAAAGTCGACCAATGACATACCACACTCGACAGCCGTTGTTCTGAATATCAGGAGCAGCTTTATGGGGAAATATGACAAATGATGGAAAAAGCGCCGTGGCACTAATTTACAAACGTAACATAGGTTGATTCATTTGTTGGCTGGTAACTAGGAGAATATCGTAATTTCGTGAGACTAAACGCTAAAGCTCCGTAAGGTCCCAGCAAAAAGTAAAGTCATTCTCAAAAACAATATACTTTAAGATAAAATACAAACTACAACTAAGCATCTATCAATAGGTGTTGACAGGTTAGATTATTTTGGTGACTAACCTCACTGCTCAAAACAATAATCAATTAATATTCGAGTAAACAGTGCTCTGAGTTACGATTTCTTTGGAGGATGAATTTTCTTATGTTCGTATGGTAGCTCCAAGGCACCGTCATAGTGCATTCGAACAGGAGGGACAACGTTTGAGTTCTCTGGTGCGTGAGCCCCAAAATAGTCTTTATTGAAATAAAATTCATCTCGTGGAACTCTGTCGTATGCTGGAATGTAAAGATCAGGATTCTTCAACACACAAACAGCGGAATAGATACAAATTGAAGACGCACCAACCAACACTACTGATGCAAGTAGGGTAACTGGGTAGTTTTCACAAAGCCAATTAATTGGTCCTCCATGATGCGTTGAAGAATTCAGTCGGTGGGGTGAAACATGAAGGCCACGTCTGAAGGAAGCTAGCAGCGACAACCTGGATAAGCTCATGATCAAACAATTTGTTCAAGTGATAACGTATGCAGCGAGTGGCTACCCACTTTGACAACCTAAAACAAATTAGCTGGCTATTAGATTCCAATTTGTGCCTACCGCAAATACTTAGGATTGAAGGTCACACCCAAAACGACATCACGTATCAGCGCTCTAATATCCATTTTTTTCAAGAGCTAGTATAAACCAATTGATTTCTTCGATCTCGATTCTTGTTCTCCAGAGGTAAGTGGTGCAAAAATGGTCAACTGAAAAGTCATTAGATAATAACTTCTGTATAAAAAATGCATATTTTTAGAGATTTCACGAACACGATAAGTACAGTAGGGTCAGCAATTCATTGCGTCCATAATCTCCAGTATCCAATATCTTTTTCAGGAGTTAGTATAAACCAGTCGATTACCTTGCTCTCGATTCTTGTTCTTCCAGTGTGGTTCCAGGTATTGAGTATTGTTCAACCGATCGGCGTCTAGTCACTCGACTTCCTGATTCTAGTCAGTTGGCAGTTGTTTGTGAGTTTGCGTGTCCCGTGATTTGAATGAATACATTTGCTTCAGGGCTGTAGGGTTTCTGGATACCAACCCAGTTAGTCGTAATATGGAGAATAATAAAGAGAAAATTCTGGTTCTAATAAGAATAAGATTTCAGAGCTAAGTGAATTTAGTTTATTAATTGGTAGTGATGATTGTGTGAGAAGACTGAAGTGTGAGCGACGGTAGGTAAACAGAGATAATAGGCGAGATGTATTAAGTTGTCGATCTGAAGGGAAGGCAATAATAACAACTAGCATGTCTCAAGACATGCATCAGGCATAGCTGGTCCGCGAGGAAATGAGTAAGCGTTTTTCAAGTCTCTTCTTAAAGCCGTTCTCAGTCCGGGAGATTAGACTGACGGGCAGAGCCCTTTAGGGATTGACCTTCAGCCACATTTAGCGAGTCTCATCAGTACTGATGGTCTGTTGTTTGACGAAGTCCCGGACTGGTGTGGAGGCTCCCAGCGGTCGTGAAACCGAGATTGCGCTATGAGGAGGCATTTGGGTACGGACTTCTTTCGAAGGTGTTAGTCGGTTGTGTCATTTGGGACAGAAGGTAAATAACGTGAAATTTCGGCTGGTTTACTTTTAATCCGCTCCTCACTGCCTATTCCTAAACGGATGTGTGGTCCTTTTTAAGCTCAGTTGGATCCTCTTCGCTTCTTATGGACCTTCGGATCCATGCATCGCCTGCGTAGATTAATGCCGCAGTGCTGATTATTCCTGACAGACCCACTCTATTTACGTTGGTACGAAGCTTTCTATTCTCAAGGTGGTTTCTGAGCCAAGATAAAAGTGGGCCAGTGAAGTCCATCTTCACAACCTTTACAATTAGCAGTACGTGGAGTATTGCGTCATAGTCGTTTGCGAATTCAAGAAAAAATTATGTGAACGGCTTTTTTTCGGTCTCAGCTGATTGTCAACCTGTCCCATGCTATGAGAAGATTGGATGCACAGGAATTGCTTTCCAATACCCATGTTGAGCTTCAAGGGGGATTTTACTCTTATTTATGTACATCATTATTTCCCTCGTTAACCAATACTTCCATTACCTTCGATAATACGGTAGTAATGCGACTGATCTGTAACAGGCTCGGTCCTTCTGATATCCTCTTTTGAAAATTTGAGAGAGAGTAGGTGTAGTGTGATTCCATCGAGTGCTTGAACAGGTCACATATCGGTGAACTGAGTGCTTCTGCACAATGTTTCGAGACCATGTGACGATTATTGTCACACGCTGGTGAGTTTCCAGGGCGTAAGGATTTTGGTCTCCTAAGTCAGGAGTAATTCAGATGTTTCCTAAGCCGTTAGCTGGCACTGGGTTGCGTAGGACTGTAAACACGTGGATACCTGGTTTAAGTGATATGCGAAGTTGTAGCTGAAGATCTCAGCCATCTCTTCGTTGGTAAGTTCCTCTCCATTTGGACCTTTGTGTGGACACGAACCCTGATTCGTAGGTTTCCTTTTTGTCACGAACCTAAACAAATGCTTAGGGATCGCTTCGTCCGAAAGCGTCTTCTAACATTCCTGACTTTCGCATTGCATACTTTCCTCAATTCTAAGTAAAAGCTACGGTCGGAATCATTCAGAGAGAACTTCCATTTGTAGCGGACTCTCCTTCCCCCTCTTGCACGTATAATTTGCCCTCGTCCGTCTAAGGTAGAGCTCATTTTTGTCCTGCCTGAGTGTTTCGTTTATGATTACGTCAAACAAGACTGTTTCATGGTCACTAATTCTTACTTCTATGTGAACGTTAATATTCTCGACCAAGAGCCGATCATCTGTCAACAAATAATACAGGTTTGAAGATCTTCCTTCTTTAGTCCATCTAGTGGCTGCGCCAAGTCGTCTTTGAAACCAACCAGTGGGACTTGTACCCTGTTTGCTGAGTCTTAGAGATGGGGTGTTGAAACCTCCAACTAGGGGTATTTGACCAAACGCAAGTACTGGCAGTTGCAGTATTGCTTTAGTCAGTTTATCTTTCTGGGCCGTAGTACCTGAGGGGGGACGGTAAATCTCTCCAATCAAGCACTTCGTGCCATTTGCGTGGAAACAACACCGAAATGATTCTGTCATCACGTCTAGTTGGGTGTCGAGTAGTCGTTCGGCTTCTGAATGGCTGTTAATATATATAGCCACTCCGACTCATGTCTGGTGTACCCTATCGCTTCGGAAGAGTGTCATGCCTTGCAAACAGAATTCGTCGTCTGCAATGTCAGAGGATAGCCACGTTTCAGTGAGGACTATGATCTTCAGATCCATATGAGAGCACATATTCCTGATCTCTAACAGCTCGCTCCTAAGTCCTCTTACATTGCTATAGAGGAAATTGGTGTTTTGTTTCATCATATGGTGTACCTTTGCAGCAACAGCCATTGCTCGATTTTCAAACAAGTTGTTTAAACCGATTCAGCCAGTTCTGTGGGAACAGACCTCTGCAGGTCTTTTGCCTATGCAACGAATTCAATCGCTGAAATCATTATCTTCGTGTCTTGTGTCCGTGGTTGTTGATCGAGGTCAACTGTCATTTGTGTGCTCTAATTTCGGCCTTTCTGTTGTTTCCCCACAGATCTCCGTCGGCTTTCGTAACACCTAGAGAGGATGTTCTTCTGGCTGTGCCAAGCCGGGAGTGCCTCAGTTAGGTCCTTCCGATTTCTGAAGCGCACGGCAATCAGGCGTGGTGACTTCATGGTCGTGCAGTATGACGGACGAGGCAGCCGGGAAATGCCAGCTGCCGTGGTGGTTTGATAGCCCATGCTGAGTGATAGCCACCGCCACTGATGCACATCATGTGCCTGAGCTTCGTCCAAGTTACCACCAACTAGTTCGAGTGCGCCATGAACTATTCTATCTGTTTGCTCTAGGGTGCCCTGTGGTGTCCTGGCTGCAGGTCGTACTGATCACGGTTTGTTGTGCCTGAATCGGATCGAGGAGCATCTCTTGGGTGTGGAGATGTATTCGGCAAGTTGTGCCGAGTCTAATGTTATCCGCATCGGGGGGGGGGTTTCCCTCCGTTTCTTCTTCGACGCTCATCCAACGCTCTGCGTTGTTAACAGATACTGGGGGCTTTACAACAACTGACAGTTTGGTCGGTGTGTCGGATTGGGTTATGTATACTTTTGTCTCTTGTTCCGCTGGTTTAGTGCCGGCTGATCTAGGTTTACCTGTTGGGATTTGAGGGTGTCTCAGTGGCAATGGACGCATGTACTACAGAAGTTACATTCAAAGGCAGAGCTACTGGTTTTGACTAGCATCGAGCAGGCGTTACAGTTATCCTTCTAGGATTTCTGAACGGTAGACTGTGTCGGTTGAGCCTTCGATTGCCTTTTTCTCCTATCCTTATTTTGCCTACTGGTTTTTAAAGAAAAGGAGTCTAAGGATAGTCGTCTTGGTTTCTATGTTGGAATCCCAGTGGTTTTTAGGTTGAATGGACCGGATTACAAACATTTCTTCGAGGAATACTGTCGAATTCCGTTTTTAGCTTTTTCACGACTCTTTCCGAGTTTTTGAAGGAGGAAAGTAGTAATATTAAATATAACCATGAAAGAATGGAACCTTATAGTGCTCCAAAATTGTCACTTTGCCTTTGGCCATCCTAGTATGCAACTTCGCGTGGATATAGTAACTTTCCCATAATTCCTGTTTTAGCGCGTGGATGTGTGTGTACGCTGCCGAAGGAACTAGGAAGAGAGAATTTGATAGAGACAGCTAGACCTACAGTACAGTGGTTCTGACTTGGAATGAGTCGGTTTGTCCGAATTAGTATCCGGATTTTCAACCTCTCATATCTTCGGCAATGTTTAAATATCCCAATCAGGTGTCCAAAACTGGATTGCTTCCTATAAACACGTCAACTTCGAAATTAATTTTTTATTTTGGATTGAGTTATAGTCTTCTCATTATTTTTATTTCAGCTTAATGCGTTGTCGAAGAGCAGAGATAGCGAGAACAACAAATGTCGTTATCAAACGCTATCGAAATAGTATTTCAAATTCTGACGAATGTTCATAAAAGTTAGGCATTTCGTTTATAGATTATTTGGCGCAACCGAATATCAGTTGGCTCAATTCTGTCGTCAAGCTTAATATATATATCTTGAAATAAGTAGTGTAATTGGTCTAAATTAATTTAGTGTTTTCTATCTTATGTTATTTTTAACAGGTATCAGCTCCCACTAGAATCTGAGCGATTGCTTCTATAATCCTTTCTTTGTCACCGTTCATTTTAGAAGCGCAACCGATTAAAAGTAAAAAAATGCACACTTTTCGAAATTTTAATTAATTAATTAGGGGGAATTCCTTGCTGGTATGTTTTTCCAGTTCATCTTAGCAACAGACAACTGATAACGAATAAGAATGGTCCATTATCTAAATAGAACCCAACGATATTTTTGTGCGACCTACATTATTACAACAGTTATTCACATGTCACGAACCACTCATTACATGTTATCACCGTATACTGAACACATTTTGTTATATCGGAATAGATTTTTCATGTGTTCAATGAAAGTTTTGAAATATTTAAACTACATATGAGTGGAAGGAAAAAGTAACAGGATGTGTTTCGGAAAGTTGGTCGTGAAAGGGGTCCTAAAATGAAATAAATGCAGAAGACTTGCTGACCTTTACC